GGCCCGCCCCGCTACCGCGTCGACTCCTGCTCCGAACAGCTCCCCCCCTCACGACCGCAACCCCGACGTCGACCCTGCCGAGCCGCCCCGCTACCACCTCACCGTCGGAACGGTGTCGTCCCCGCCTTGGCACCGCAGCCCCGACGTCGACCCGCCATACCGTCCCGAAACCGTGGCGCGCCATCCCGAAATCGCACCGGCCCCCACCGACGGTGTACCGTGCACCGCCTTGCGGAGTCTCGCGTGAGCCCGTCACGCGAGACCCGCCTTTCCCTTTAAGGTATTAGAGAGATCTGCCAACAGGGAAGAAATGACAAAACCGCACTATCTCAGGGTCGATTCCTAGGGAAGACAGCCTTCTTCTGACCTTTGAAGAAGGAGGTGTCGAAACACTTTCTTGGGACCAAGTAGACTATGGTTTTGAGGAAGGACCCAGCGGTTCGGTAGGTCAGGAGGGGAGCTACGCGGCCGTTGCAGCCCGCGGGGGAGGGCGACAAGGAAGAGGACGTGGCCGAGGAAGAGGAGGTCGCGGACGTGGTGGAAGAGGATCCGACACCCAGAGGGGTGGTGGCGAAGGTAGCTACTACGCCGGAGGAAGGGGTAATGGTCCCTGGCAAGGTGGTCGTGGTTCTAATTTCACCTGGGGTAAAGGAAGAGGCGCTTGGTATGGAAACTGGGATAAGCCCTATCCGCCCCATCCGGGTCTTCCAAAAAGGGAGCCTTGGAAAAAGTTGGGGATAACTGAGGAAGTTTGGCTAGACAGGAAGAAAGCTTACCAGTACCTCAAGTGTGGGGACCTCAACCACATTGTCCCTTATTGCCCTGACTACAAGGTAGCAAAAGGGAACAACCAGTTGAGGTCTCAGTTGCCTCTGCAGGGACTTCGGATGTTGAAAGACAGAAATCCTCCCATTCGAAGGTCCCAATGGCAGAAACTGAAGAGGTAGCCAGTCCCCATCTGTCCAGAGGTGGCAACCGTATGCATCTCTCTAGATGGATCCCTCGTTGGCGTGGGTGATGAGTTGGCCGCTCGTCGCCAAGCCAGGACTGAAATGAAGAAATGCAAAGGACAACTAATCATTGCAGATCTTGAAATTAATAAAGTAAGAGTAGGAGGAATGATTGATAGCGGGTCTACACACAGTTATATTAGCAAGAAAGGTTTGCAGAAACTGTGTCTTGGGCTGAAAGTAAAGCAATTGGATGAGCCCATTGTAAGTAAGATAGCAAATAGTTCAGAGATGGTAGTGGATCGATACGTCGAGGGGGTACAAACATACTTTCGACTCGAGGCAGAGGGGAAGGTGGAACATGTTCTCCACTCTCAGACTCTCTTGGTGGAAGATAGTCTGCCCTTTGATGTGTTGCTAGGCATGGATTGGGGTGAAGCTGCTAACGCGGGTATCAAGTTGAGGGACCATGAGTTTTGGCTTCCAAGTCCGCAGGGTGGAAAGAAGAAAATCCGCCTATTCCATGAATCTCGTAAGGAAAGCAGCTTAGCTCATTGTTTTATGAGTGCCCCTGCGTTCGCCCGCCATGTAAAAAAATATAACTTGTAGGATCAAGTGTTTGTTGCATATGCGCGCCCAGTGAAAGAGGGTGAAGTAAAGGAAGAGGCCAAGTACCTAGAAATTGAAAAGATTCTGAAGGAATTCGCAGATGTGGCTGAGGCCCCAAGCGGTGTAGTTGAGAGACCCATCAAGCATCGCATAGACATTATCCCAAGAAGTCAGATTCCTAAGGGACCCATTTACCGAATGTCCCCAAAAGAATTGGATGAACTGCGATCCCAACTTGACGAATTGTTGAAAAGGGGATGGATAAGGCCTAGTTCCTCGCCCAATGGTGCGCCTGTGCTGTTTGTGCCTAAGAAGGATGGCGGATTACGCATGTGCATAGATTATAGAAGATTAAACGAAATAACTATAAAGAACGCAGAGCCGTTACTGCGGATAAATGATTTGCTGGATCGTGTGCGGGGTTGCAAATACTTCACGAAGATTGATTTGAAGTCCGACTACCATCAGATTGAGGTAGAGCCGGAAGACCAATATAAAACTGCCTTCAGAACGAGGTATGGGCACTATGAGTTCGTAGTTATGCCCTTTGGTCTTACTAATGCCCCTGCGACTTTCCAAAGTCAATTGTTTATTTGGATGATATTTTGATTTTCAGTAAAGATTTGAAAGAACATTCTGAGCACCTTCGACTTGTGCTAAATAAGTTGCGCGAAGCAAATCTAAAGATAAACCCAAAAAAGTGTGATTGGGCCAAGCGTCAGGTTTTGTATTTAGGGCATGTGCTTGATGGCGATGGAGTCAAACCGGAAGACTAAAAAATTGCAACAATTCAAGATTGGCAAACCCCCGCACTTTGACTGAGTTGCGGTCGTTCCTTGGGCTAGCCAACTACTATCGGAAGTTCGTTAAACACTTCACGATAATAGCTGCACCCCTTCGCAGATTGCTTAAGAAAGAAACAATCTGGAAGTGGGATTCAGACTGCACAACTTCGTTTAAACGTCTGAAAAAATGTCTGATTAACTATCCGGTTTTGAAGGTTGCCGACCCTTCTTTGCCCTTTGTGGTCACCACTGACGCAAGTCAATATGGGATAGGTGCTGTACTCCAGCAGGGACGGGAATGGATACAGACCTGTGGAGTTTATGTCTCGACGACTACCTAACGAGAAGGTTGCCGCTTCTGCGTGCGAGAGAGAGTTGTTTGCTCTCAGGGAAGCCCTTGATCATTGGCGACACTATCTCTTAGGAAGGCACTTCAAAGTATACTCGGATCACGAGACACTTCGCTGGCTTAAGACGCAGGCCCGAATGACACCTAAGTTGACCAGGTGGGCCGCCGAAATCGACCAGTATGACTTTGAGTTAAAGCCAGTCAAGGGTAAGTATAACGTTGTTGCCGACGCATTGAGTCGAAGATCAGATTTCTTTGGTGCCATTGTAAATAACCTATTTGACCGACCTATAAGAGAAGATTAGGAATGCGTATCCTACTGATCCTGTATATGGCGCTATGTTAATGCTTGTGCAAGAGGCGCCGCAAGAGTTTCCTAACTATCGTATAACCCAAGGACTGTTGTTTGAAAGAACGGATTTGCATGATAGGCTTTGTATTCCGAATGTGGAAGAGATTAAAAGTCTTATTTTAGGGGAGTGCCATGACACTAAAGGCCATTTCGGGTGGAAAAAGACTTACGCAAACCTTTTGCGTTCCTACACATGGCCTCGCATGAAACCAGACTGCATTGCGTATGTGCAGGGCTGTGAAGTGTGCCAAAGAAATAAGAGCACCACACAACCTCCTCTTGGTTTACTTAAGCCTTTGCCTATTCCAACAGGTCCAGGAGACTCTGTGTCTATTGACTTTATGGACACCAAGGTAAAAAGTAGGAATGGAAAAACGAAAGTAATGGTAATCGTCGACAGGTTTAGTAAGTATGCTGTTTTTATAGCATTACCAGCGGAAGCGAAAACGGAACTGGTAATCCGAGAGTTCTTTAATCATTGGGTAAAAGATTATGGGCATCCCTTAACAATTGTGAATGACAGAGACTCACGGTTCACAAGTGAACAATGGCAGCAACTACTGAACGTCTATGGCTCTAAATTGACTATGTCTTCAGGTAGACATCCTGAGACAAACGGTCAAACTGAGCAAATGAACAAGATTTTGCAGCAGACGCTGCGTATGTACATCCGTCCCCTGTCTTCTCCTAGTGTGGTGTGTTTTCTGCTGTTTGGCTAACCCGGTTCTTGTTCTCACTCGCGATTGCTACGATTGTAGGCCTTCACGCACGTAGTAGCCGGCGTAGAGATTGCACTACGCCTTGTGTGGCTTCGACTTCATGGCGAATATGGCGAACAACCCGAACCTGCGGTTGACCGACAACAGGAGCTGCTACAACTGTGGGCAGCCAGGGCATCTCTCCCCTCTCTGTCCTAGTGTGGTGTGTTTTCTGCTGTTTGGATAACCCGGTTCTTGTTCTCACTCGTGATTGCTACGATTGTAGGCCTTCACGCACGGAGTAACCGGCGTAGAGATTGCACTACGCCTTCTGTGGCTTCGACTTCATGGCGAATATGGCGAACAACCTGAACCTGCGGTTGACCGACAACAGGAGCTGCTACAACTGTGGGCAGCCAGGGCATCGCTCCCCTCTCTGTCCTAGTGTGGTGTGTTTTCTGCTGTTTGGATAACCCGGTTCTTGTTCTCACTCGTGATTGCTACGATTGTAGGCATTATTATAGCTCCAACTGGGCCAAGAAAGTTGCCCAAAATCAAGCTGTAAGGACCATGGGCCATGTTAAAGAAAAGAAGAAAAAAAAAGATTAGAAAAAAGAGGAAAAAAAAAGATTAGAAAAAAGAGGAAAAAAAAAGATTAGAAAAAAGAGGAAAAAAAAAGATTAGAAAAAAGAGAAAAAAAAAAGAGCGGAAAAAGAAAAAAGAAAAGGAGGAAAAAAAGAAAAAAGAATAAGAGGGAAAAACTTCAAAAAAGAAAAAAAAAGAGAGGACTAGGACCGTGTCCCGAGAAAATCAGAGTGGCATCTGGGTACTCAGCTTCCCAGGTATGTGGCTCTGGCCCTGGTTCCAGTGGACTCTGGAACTCTGTGCTCGGGATGTTGGCACGTGTTCCAGAGTCCACTGGAACCAGTTCCAGAGCCACGTACCTGCTCTGGCCCTGGTTCCAGTGGGCTCTGGATGTGGCATACTGCGCAGCCACACGGGCCTGCAGGGCCCGACCAGATGGAAAATCACGGCCCTACAGGCCCTTTGTCGTTTCAGCCTGAAAGCCTGAAAACGAGGGCCATTTGCAGGCCCTCATAAAGTCGACCTGCCCTGAAACTCAGGCGCCTGACCAGGGTTTAGCACAGGCCATTTTTGGGCCTGTTTCAAGACAACCTTTGTTGGAACTTCAATGCCAGGGTCTGGCACGTTTCGGCATTGGCAAGAGCAGCCTCCCGGACGGGCCAGCACTATATAGAACTGGCCCGCCCTGCAGGCTGCAGGTAGTTCATAGGGACTTCCCAGGCAGTTCACGGGCACTTCACGCGCAGGAGGCAGGAGGCAGTCTTCATGATTCGGCAGCAGCACTCTGGAGGAGCGCTGCAGTAGTAGTAGTAGCGTTAGGAGTAGTCTTCAGCGTTGGGCACTGGTAGGAGCTAGAGTAGCGTTGGAGAGAGAGAGAGAGAGAAGGTTGGTGGAGGCCAGGGAGACTTACCTGTGGCGCCATAGCTCCAGCTTCGTCTTCGAGGTACCTGCAACAAGGCGCCACCTTCACAGGTTAGTACTGGACAAGAGAGAGAGAGAGAGAGAGAGAGAGAGAGAGAGAGAGAGAGAGAGAGAGAGAGAGAGAGAGAGAGAGAGAGAGTTCTTCTTCTTCCTCTTCTAAGCCCACCATCTCTCCCTCACCCTCTTGCCACCTGACTTCTCAGTATCTGCGGACTACGAGAGAGAGAGAGAGATTGGTGACTTTGGGGCTTGACGACATTTGGATCCAGGCTCGACATTGGGATCGAGACATTGGACAAGGGATTATTTGGGACCTGTACCGAAGACTTGGTGTTGACGACATTCCCATCTTCCCCCTCTTCTGCGTCTAACCGCCCTCTTCTTCGTCTGTATGGTTGGGGACTGGCGCATTCTTCCTGTGTGAGCGCCAGGCCCCTTCACACCATGGAATGATGATGATGTATGTTTGGTCTGCATTGCGACATTGATTGGTCTGATCATTGGTATATTAGCCTTCCGCTGCACTATTTTGTACTATGTGAGAGAGGTCGGTTCTTGTTCTGGTCTGCACCTTTACGGTATGTGACACTGGAACTCTGTGCTCGGGACGTTGGCACATGTCCCAGAGTAGGAGCCATGAGGTTGACAGGTATTGTTAAAAATTAATAAAAAAATAGGTGTTCTATAATGAATCGGTTTTGTAAAGAAGTGACTGGAACATAACTGCATGCTTATTTTTATAAATTTAAAATTTTATTATCAAATTTGAAATTTACTATTTTTTTATTATTATTATTATTTTAAATATATTTTTCAATATACTAATTTTATTATTGATATTATTATTAATTGTAATTACTAGCATCCTCCCCTGAACACAACAAAACCCTATCAGGTATGTACACAAGCTATCTTTCTGGTCCGACAGGTTCATGATGAGGGCGCTTTGTGTTCGGTGACAGATGGTCGTAATCAACTATTCTTTTGAAAAAAAGTTGTAATGAATCTGGTCTGTTTGCAGTGGATAGTTGTTGACGGTTGCTGGCTTGTACTTGGGAACAGTTTTTTCTTTCTCTTGTTTTCACATTGCCTGTGGTGTGATGACTTGTCATTTTGTTCTCTAGGGTGCGGAGATGGCTTTTGCTGCTGAGACGACCGCTCAAATGAAGACGGAGACCGCTCAGAAAAGGGGAAGGACGCTGCTTAATCTGAAATGCGTCGATGCCACGGTATGTTTTTTGTGCACTTTGGTAGTAGAATTGTTGTCTTTTTAATACTTTCTATGCGTTTCATGATCGCTGCCTGTTCTGTCCCCCCGCCCCCCCCTTTTCATGTCGCACAATCGCCCATGGTGCCGAATTTAATGTCTGTTAGTGCGAGCATATGCTTGTAATGATTCTGGTTGGGAGATGAGTCTGGACTCAGGGCCTCTTTCGGACTGCTCGTCTTGTAATCATTCTGGTTGGGAGCTGAGTCTGGACTCAGGGCCTCTTTCCTCCACTCGCCAATTCGAGAAATGGCGAATGCATGTTGCCACCTTTTACTGCGTGATACATTTTCCATTTTTGTTTTTGGCCAGTATTTCGAGACCCTCATTCATCCCTCCAAGATCAGATGTATACATACTCAACTCTCTCTCTCTCTCTCTCTCTCTCTCTCTCTCTCTCTCTCTCTCTCTCTCTCTCTCTCTCTCTCTCTCTCTCTCTCTCTCTCTCTTTGTGTGTCTGTTTCTGACTGTCTGGCAGTGTCTGCCCATTTGTCTGTCCATTGGACGAAGGGCAGATGTCCAACCTCTTTCATTTCACGGAAAGGGTGGACTTCCAGAAATGAAGGATGTAAAATAGGGTGCAGTTTTGGAGGGGCACGGGCACTCCAGCATCAAACAACCACCACTCCGGTACTCCACTGTACCTTTTTCTTAAACCAGCACTACCTTTCCCGTACACCAGCTGTGGGGAGGGTCCCCGCTCGTTTCGGACGCTGAAACGCCTACCTTTCCTGTGCACCAGCCGCGGGGAGGGTCCCCACAGGTTTCGCACGCCGAAACGCTGAAATGGTGGCCGCCGATGTAATCTATTGACTGCAGCTGCCGTTGGGCCCGGTCCCCGAACAATGCGGTATAGGTTATATTCCCACTTTTCCAACACTTTGAAAGGTAGTGGCTGTGTAAGGGGTTAACCCCTATAATTTTTGTACCCATTTGATTAGATTACATCAGGATTCAAATTTCGAACTCATCTACTCTTTTTCAACGGTTCTTTGTGCTTATCATTCAGCGGCGTCGGCTGGACAGCCCACTATCTTTTCAATTCCTTTTGCCGTCTACTTTTTCACCGTTGTTCTGCCATTCTCTTGTCGAGCCAGGTCAGTTTGTCAGTTTTGCAGTTTTGTCAGTCTCTTGGTGATGGAGCAGGCGATCCGATCAAGCTGGGCGTGCTGCTAGGCGAAGTCTACTGAGGCTGGTTGCGTTGTGGGGTCCTAGTTTCTGCCACGGACGGCCTACCGTTTTCCTAACTGTTGGTTGTCAGTGACTCAGCGTCTGGCGACCAACATTGTGAGTCGCCACGGCAAGGCTGGGGGAAGGGGGCGAGCTTGGTGTGCGCATGCAGTGTGAGGGTGTGTAGAGGGGAGGCTGCCGCACTGAGGTGCGTGAAGTACTCATGCTCTTGCGGGGGATATTGGCAAGGGCTGCAAGGTGTTCCCGCTTGGAGCATTGGGACCTTGAGCCAGGATGACGGCTGGCTCAGGGTCCGCTTCGGCGGTGTGGTTCAATCCAACTGCAGCCTGTCAATGTAGGCTGAAACTGTGGCAACCTGTTATTTTGAGAATTACAGGTGTTTCAATTTAGCGGGATAGGCTATACTCTGAGGTATCCACCCTCCAGCTGAGGTATGTCGTTGGGCGGAACTCAACTAAGTGGCGAGGTAGTCCCAACGGTCCTTTTGAGACCTTGTGCCAGCCTGCGGCATGAACCAGGGTCTGCCTGCCTTGGGGTTTGAACCCAAGGTCAATTAAGCAGGCCCGGTTCGAACCAACCACAAACCCAAGGCCAATTAAGCAGGCCCGGTTCGAACCAACCAAACCCAAGGCCATCTACACTGTACCAAGGTATGCCTTGCGTTTGGATTGTCCTTGTGGCACTGGGGTCGGACCAGCCAACGGCCGACAGTGTAAGGGAATGTCCTGCCTGTTGTAGGGAGTTTCTTCGTTGCTGCAGTCACTGTGGTACGCATAGGGGTGGGTTGTAGAGTGCAATTATACGTGCAGGTAGTGTTGAGAGTTGCTGCAGGATGTGGATGTGGTGGTGGTGGTGTGTGAGATCTGTGGGTGATTGCACTGGGGCGTATGATCATCACAGTGCGCTTTGAAGAGGAACGTCTACTGGACAGTGAGGTCAGCTTTCGTACGAATAGAATGCCGGGCATTCTAGCTGTATTTGGGGTACATTGCAGTCCAGATGCAGCTATCATTCAATCCAAATACAAAACTATTTAAGCAGTAGGGTGAGCTCCTCCTCAAACACTGTGTGAGGAGGTCGTGAGCAGTGAGCTGTGTCGCAGGGAGTGATTGTGAGTTCAGTTACACCCAGTGTTTGAGGAACAGCTCACCCTACTGCTTAAAGAGTTTCGTATTTGGATTGATTGATAGCTGCATCTGGACTGAAATGTACCCCAAATACGGATAGAATGCCCAGGCATTCTATTCGGGTGAAGACGGTAGGGAGCTGACTTCCTGACGGGCGGCGCGATCTAACAGGCCTGCTGAGAGTGTATCGCACCCACCCAGCACTTCCTGGCCCTCTGCCATCGTCGAGACACAACACCTAGTTATGCAGCCGGTTTAACACAGACGTTGGAGATCGTCCTCGGTGCGGACCAACCAGACCAGCATCCATTACATCGAGGCCACCGTGCCGGAGCAAATGCCCCCCCTCCTGTGCCTGAGCCTCGCCAGGTTTAAAGAACTGTGGTAGCATAATCCCTTCTCCATCCACCGTGCCTCCTCAGAGCTTCCGGCAGGAGTATCGCCGTGAACCGATAAGAAGCTTACACTGTTACGATCCTGGCCCATTTCGAAGTATACATTCATCTGAAAGTACAATGCCATCCAATTGCAAAAAGAAATGAATGAACTTGAGAGGGAAGGAGGGAGAAAGAAGAAGATGATGATGTACTCCAGCATAGGCCAATGTCAAGGCTCTTCTTCTTCGCCAACGAATCCCTTCCTCCTTATCTCCTCCCTCTTATTCAAACAAGAAATAACAATAATAATGTTGAATG